GAACCCAGTACTGGGTCGTAAAATCAATTTGGTAGGCCATTGCAAGCATTTTAAAAAGAAACTATACAAGGGATTGAAGATGAATGGAAATAAATGTACACTGGGTCACAGATAGTAAGGCAATATATATTGGTTCCAGTTATAAGCAAATGTATGTTTGTATAAACCAAGATGTCAAATACATTTTTATAAATTCTAGTCCAAAAAAATCTGAAAAAAAGTAGTCTACAAGAGCCAGTAAAAGTCTCTGCCTTTAGTATAAAATACTGTATTTATTATATTTCTTCAGTAATAGGAAAAGTTTACAAATTTTTTGGCATACACACACACGATAAATTACATCTAAAGATATGTATTACATGAAATATCTATAAAACACATTCCTGAAGTTAAAAATTTTCATGTGTTTACTAATTTCATTCAAACTTTCCTATACTTGAAGTTAAATGCAGAAGATATAAAAACAAAGTGTCTAGGAAACAATCCATTTCTATGCTTTGGTCTTTATCATCATCAAAGCCCAAAAGTGCTTTACAAGTGGAAAAATACTGACATATGTACTGTCCTTTGGCTTAGTCAGTTCAGACTGTTATAACAGAATACCACACAGACTATGTGGCTTATAAAAGAAACTTATTTCTCATGGTTCTGGAGCCTGGGAAGTTCAAGATTAAGGAATTCGAAGACTCAATGTTTGAGGAAGGGCCTCTTCCAGTTTGGAAGACAGCCCTCCATCCTCACCCACCTCCTCATGATGGGGAGAGAGCAAGAGATCTCTCTCTTGTCTCTGTTACTACAAAGGCACTGATCCCACCATTGGGGCTGCACCCCCACAACCTCATCTAAACTTAATTACTTTCCAAAGGCCCAACTTCCAGATAATATTACAAACTGGGGAATAGAGTCTCAACATATAAATTCGGGGATGACACGGTAAGTCCACAGTATCCCTTTTGTGAAGAGTTTCATCCACTTCAACTTGTTATACTCATTTGCTAAATATTTATTATAATAGTACATCTGAAGATAATTCTGGGGAAATTTCTTCTTCAGCACATATGAAATGGATATTGTGATGAAGCACACACAAAAACGTAAATCTTCATGTTACCCAAACAGATGTCTTCTTCAACTGGATAGTGTATTAAATAATCAAGGAAGTGTTTCCCAAGTGTTCTGACGTAATGTTTCTGATGCTTTATATATGCATTTCCAATCAAAGATAGTTCAAAAAACTAAAAATAAGTAAACAGGCTGAGTGAAACAAGCCAGACCACCTACCCACCACCCACCAAAATTACAATCTGCATGATTCCATTTACAAAACATTGTAGAAAATCAACACTGATCACTTTGCAGATCAGTTGTTGCCTGGAACAGGGCATGGTGAGGGGAAGGCAGTCACCAAGTAAAGACCCGAGGATTTGATGTCCTGAAAATATCATCATAATCCTATTTAAGAGTACCTGGTTAATATAAAGGACCTCAGTGGGTATCATTAGAATTTTTAAAAAGCGCATATAGGTAAGTAGTACTTTTTAAAATTCTAAGTGACGCCTGTAACCAACACATGGGATATTTTGGCTCTTAAAACACGTCATCATAGAAGTGATAAAACCATCATTACCTGGGAAGAATCCGTGTTACAATATCAAATCGCCAGGAAGATCTTTTAACCAACTGCATATGTCAACCCCCACCTAAGAGATACATGGGGATCACTATTATTTATCTCGGCAGAAAAATATATGTATATTTGCCGCAAGTGCATGTTTAGGTCAAGTTCTTTTTTCAATGTGGAAAATTCACTGCTTTCAGACAGAAAAGACATCTCTTAGATGTATGTCCAGGACTGCTTCAAAGCATGTAGCTGCTAATAGAAGGAAATTCCACCTGCTAAACCTGTTTTCCAATGATGAGACCAAAAGAGTTTCTCCAGTTTTAGACTATTCTGTGAGCCACTGACAAAGATTCTTTGCTTGGCCAAACTTTCCTCAGGTTTCTGCATCTTTTGCTAGGCCCATCTGTGCGCTCTCTCATACAACCCAGTTTTACAAAGAACCCTGTTATGTTAGTTTAGCAAGAACGCCCCCATTCCTAGGTGTCTGATCACCTTGAATACCTGAACAGGTTTCATCCCCTCCCGTCCCCCAAGTGACATCTGATCACTCCTGGCTGTTTTCAGCAAGAAACCTATTGGGTGAGTTTAGCCAAAATCTTCCTTACCCCAATGTTTCCTCTTAGTAATTTTCCGTCCACATTGATCCCACATTGACCTCCACATTGATTTTTAGCTCTGAGTTCCCACTTGTCCTTGCCGTATTTGGTGTTGAGCCCAATGCCTCTCCCCCACTGCAAGATGCCGCTGGAGGTCCCTGTACCTGTCATGATGGTTCTGAAGACGGTTTACCTTACCGTGCTTTAAAAAGTATCACTGAATATATAAATATATATTTTTTAACAGCACACCGGTGCTATTCTACAACATGTTTTGGTTCAGATTTATGAACTCACTTGAGCAGCCATGATATCCCACCGTGGATAGAAGCGCTGGGGGTCTCCTGAGGACTGCAGCCCTTCAAATCTGGAGAAGAAGCTTCAGCAGCCACCAGAAGCCAGGTCCTCTGAACACCTCCCGATATGAGCCAGGTTCTCCTTCACACACTGATCGAGCTCAGCCACCCGATGAAGAACTGCACAGGAGAGAGAGAATCCAGCAATCACTTTGCTTTATTGGAGTGACGGTGTGCCTGGCTCCATGCTGGGCACTGGGTCAATGACCAATGACACTGATACAACGGGGGTAGCAGCGAAAACAACGGAAGGTACAGTGGGTTTCTCACCAGGGCCTTTTCTTCTCCTTTCCTCATCTATCCCTTAACAACAAATCTGAAAACGGATAAGAAGTGGCCCGAATTCATGCAGGCACTCCTGGTCCCGCAACAACCCCGGGGCGCTGGGCTTGCATCCGTATTACCACAATCCTGGTTCCAGCCATCGGGTGGGCGGGCATTCGTGTCCCCGTTTTAGAGGAGGGAGCTGGGCTCAGACAGAGCCGCCACCTGTGTCACCCCCCCGCGCCGGCCTTTCCATGGACAGTAGCCCCAAGACCCCCTGGAGCAGGACACCACACTCCCTGGGGCCGGGCGGGTCCCACCGCTCTCTCCCTCACGGGACAGTCGGGGCAACTTGTCCCAAAGCGCGAACGAGGCGACTTGGATCCGGGATCGCTTCATGTCCCCGCGCCCCAGGGCGGTCCGGCCCCACCACCGCGCACCCGCACCCGCAGCTCCATCCAAACACCTGAAGACGCGACCTGGCTCCTCTGGCCAGGCCATGTTGGCGTCCGTGAAAAGTCGTCACAGGCGCCAGGATGACGTCAGCTCCCTACGGGAGCCGCGACGCTCAGGCGGGTCCTCCGCACAACACGGGGTCATTTTGCCTTTTGCAGAAAGTCATTCGCTTTTACCCCTCAGACCGGCACCTGAGAAGGCGTGCTGTTTAGAGAAAGCAGAAGGAACGCAGTCTCGTGTCGGGAAACACAGCCTACTGAGCCTGCCCGCCTCAATTATTGTATGGGTCGTGCACCTCTCGCGGCGGTTCCTCCGAGGGCCTCCCAGGGAGTTTGCCATGTGACCCAGCAGTGCCACTCCTGGGTCCACGCCCAAGGAAAATGGAAACGTATATCTTCGTAAAAACACGAAGCATAACCGTATGTCGCACTTTCTTCCAAGTAGCCAACAACGGGAGACAGCCCAAGTGCCCGTCAAAAGTTGAATGGATGAAAAACATGTTATGTCCACACAAAAGAACATTTTCCGCCGTGAGAAGGAATACAGTTCTGACACATGCTGCATCCTGGGTGCGCCTTGAATAAGTTATGCTAGGTGAAAGAAAGCAGACACAACAGACGAAATATTGTATGAGTCCACAGATAATGAATATCTAGGAATATGCAAGTGTCTAGAGACAGAGGAGACGCATCTGTGACTCCCCGGGGCTGGGCTAGGAGCAGGGATTAGCGACACTGAAGCACTATGAAACCTTTTCTGGTGGTAGAAATGTCTAAAACTCGATTCTGGTGAAGGTGGCACAACTTTACACACCTACTGAACATCGTCAGAGTGTATGCTTAAAATGTATTCATTTTATTGTCTGCAAATACATTGCAAGGAAGCTGTTTAAAAGTACGGCTTAGGCTTGGCTTGGCCGCCTTCTGTACCACTGCAATTACCAAACTTTTTCATACAAAGACCTTGGTGCATGTGTTTGAGTGTATATACAACTGTAGTTGTGCCCAGCCCTGCTGGCTGTGTGTCCTGTGTAGTTCCAAGCAACGGCAGTCCCCTCACTCATGCTACCTCAGGTTGCACTTAGTGCAAAATTCAGTTTACGTCTGATCACTTCCGCGTCTTCCAGCTGTGGCAGTAGCTTGAGCGTGTGTCCAGAACCCAGCCCAGGGCCTTCCCTCAGTGACAGGATGTCAGCATGAGTCCTTTCTTCGCGCCTCTGCGACCTTTCTCAGGTGACTCCACTTGAGGAGGCTAAATGGCTCTGCCTCTCCGGGTGTCAGTATGGCAGTACTTAAGAAGGACTACGTAAGTTCCTTCCTGCACTAGGTACCAACACTTTCTCTTTTAGAAGTTTTTCTTCAGGACATGGTGAAAGATGTTAAGGGTCTGATAACAAGGACCTCTGTCCTGACAGTTCCCATCCTCCACTCATGGGTCTGAATTTAGGAAGGGAGACCAAATTGGATGCAAAGTTGTGAAGGGGCAGGGGCAAGCAGAGGGAAGTGCAGTTGTCAACACATCCCCACACCCATGTTCTATTATCACAGTTCTAGAATTCTCCTAAGACAGTTTCTTAAGGGGACACAGTGCACTCGCCAGTGCAAATAGCCATGTAATCCCTGCCCTGAACTGTGCCTGTCAGCAGTGCCCAAACTCTGAAAGGATGCCATCTAGTGTCTATCAGATTAGCAGTGACTCTCATTACTTCTAAAGTGTGAAGGTAGAGGCCCTTATAGACTGTGATATAAGGGACATGAATTAGTAATGGTATTTGTAATTCATTACGTTAATATAAGATTTTATAGTTTCCACGGTCTTGAAAGGACATTTCAGGAACCATTTATAAAGAAATGCCTACAAATATATTTGCATATATACTCTATGGGCAGGGTGTTTAAGTATATTATTGTTTGTAACAGGAAAAGATGGTAAAGCCACTAAGTTTTCATCATTAGGGTACTAATAAAATAGGTTTGCGGGCACCTAAATGATGAAACACCCTGTTGATGAAAAAAATACTATTTTTAAAAAATGTAGAATGTTAGCTGGGCTCGGTGGCTCAGCCTATAATCCTGTGCCTTTGGGAGGCTGAGGTGAGTGGATTGCCTGAGCCCGCGGGTTCGAGACCCGCCTGGGCAGGCAAGACCTCATCTCTACAACAAATCAAAAAATTAGCCGGGCGTGGTAGCACACACCTGTAATTCCGGCTACTCGGAAGGCTGAGGCGGAAGGATCGCCGGAGCCCAGCAAGTCGAGGCTGCGGTGGCCGGGAGCGGCCACTGCACTCCAGTCTGGGCGACAGAGTGAGACTGCAACTCAAAAAAAAAAAAAATGTAGAATGTTGTTATGAAAATGCATTTGTATGTAGGGACGGTCATAATGAGGGCAAAGGCACGTCACAAGAATCATTAAGTGGCCAGGATCCATGCTTAGATATAGATCTGTAGCTATTTATCTAGTCTTCAAAAAGAAATAAAAATAGAAATAATAATTTTGTGCCTCTGACATAGAACGTTTTCTTAAGCATAGTAAGAGGCTGCACTTTCTGTCATGCTGGAGACCGTATTCCCGGACCCTGGTAATGCGTCAGTTTCCACCCTGACTTCCAAAAAGCTCTGTAGGGTCGGCTTGGGCCACAACCCCTCCCTCCCTTCTTCCTGCTCAGCGATATTTGAGCGCTATTCGAGGATTCTGTCACAAGGGAGCACAAATGTGCCACCATCATCAAACCACTACAATAAAGTGTATGCAGTTAGCACAAAAAATGCGATACCTCCCTTAAAACCCAGGTTCTGAATCTCTGTACAGAATGATTCTAATTCTGTTTAGGGAAAACAAACAAAAAAGCTGATGGGTATAAAAAGAGACATAAAATCGTATACTTTGGGGCATCCATAGGATGAAACTCCGGTACTCTAACATGCCTTGTCTGCTGCTGTAAAGCAGGATTAAGGCAGCACAGGACAGGTGGGTGGTGACTGAGAGAGGATGAGGGTGCTGGAGCAGGGTCTAAGCTGTGTCCATGGTGTCCTGGAGAGGGGATGACTGACAGGGGGTGGGAGAAGGTCTGGGAAGCCTGGACAGAGGTGGGGTAAGGGGGGGGTGAACACCCTGCTCTCTGAGAAGGACCTCTCTGCAGTGTAGGCCTCAACCTACACTGAGGAGGGAAGAGAGAATTCAATGACTACGGCATGAACTTGGGGTACACAGCAAAAGGAACTGCCTTGATATACACATGACTCCCCCGCCCCGAAAACTGGTATCATAATAAAGAAAGAGTTTCATAAAATTTTACTCTCTGCATACTCTAGTCAAAAACAAAAAACAAAACTGTGCACTGTGGCTCAAGCCTGTAATCCCTAGCACTTTTGGGAGGCCAAGGCAAGAGGATTGCCTGAGCTCAGGGATTCGAGACCAGCCTGCTCTACTTGGCGAGATCTTGTCTCTACAATGAATCAAAAAATTAGCCAGGCGTGGTAGCGCATGCCTTAGTTCCAGCTACTTGTAAGGCTGGAGTGGAAAGATCGCCTGAGCCCAGCATGTAGAGGCTGCGGTGGCTGTTGGTGTTCCACTGCACTCCAACCTGGGTAACAGAGTGAGACTCCAACTCTAGAAAAAAAAAAAAAGTAGATAGCTCTACTAATAGACTAATGTTGAATCACAATCAATGACACTGTGTGTGTGTTTGTGTGAGTGTGTGTGTGATCTTCGTGGGCCATCATAACAAATTGTCATGATCTATTTATCATCAGGCACTTACCACCTCATGATTTAGTAATACAAAACAAATGCTGGAAATACGAAACCAAGGTGTAAGTAGGGTCAAGCTCCCTCTGAAAGCTCTACGGAAGAGTTCTTCCTTCCCTATCGCAGATCCTGATGGTCCTGGCGTTACTTGATTTGTGGTAATGCAACTTCAGTCTCTGCCTCCACCTTCACATGGATCTTTCCTGGGTTTGCCAAATCTCCCTCTGCTTTCTGCTATAAGGGCACTAATCACTGGATCCGGGACTTCCCTAAACCCAGGATAATTGTATCTTGCAATCCTAAGTTAATTATATCTGCATACATCCTATGCCCCAATAAGGCTTTTGTAGGTTAGGATTAGGATATATTTTGGGGAATACACAATGCAACCCACTGCAGTGAATCAAGCAAGTAACAAAGCTACATGTAAGATGACTTATATTTTGTATATAAATATATGTGTATGCACACACGCATGCATATGTGTGTGTGTGAGTGTGTGTATAAATATCTGCATGAGAAAATTTCTGAAAAATATAATGCAGGTGCAGTCATAAATATTTGGGGGATTGTTATTCTCTTTTGTTTTCTTTGTCATCTATCTCTACCTCTAATAAGAAGTTATTACTTTCGCAATTACACAAGAAGTTCAAATGTCGGGAACATAAGCATTCTCTGCCCCAAGCACGGGAAAGTCATTCCCTATAATGGGAACATCCCGGAGACACAGGAAGAGAGACAAGATGCTGGGGAACCCCTTTCCATGTTATTACGGGACTTATTTCTGCCAGTGAAAAGCCAATGACTCAGATTG